TCCTTTCACACTACATCAGTATTTGAAGTATGTCGACACTGATAATCAAGTCAAGGCGGTGGTAACAGACAAGCAACTATTTAAGGGATTAAAAAATTATTTTACTGATTCACTTTTATATGGTACTGAATCTGATACTAAACCACCGGCCCGTGACACGGACAACATAGAAGAAGCTGATACCGAAGCCGGACTCGATTACGATGAATGTCTTGTATTTAATGGCATAGAACCATTTGTAATCGATCTTAACGGTTGTGAATCATCAAATGGAAGTTGTAACTCGCAACTTGTCGATTGTAGTTATATAATAAATAAAGATTTAGAGTACATACCTTGTATTGATGATGTAATGCATGGATTATACAAAAATTCAGACATACATGTGCCGCTTCAATCGTCCTGCATGATGAAGAAGCATTTTCAAAACTCACCTGGGACAACTTTTGTCCTTCCTGCGGAGGCAGGGGGTATAAAAGACACTCTTCGGAGAAGGAGAGTCATTTCCATCACCAAATCCCTTTTTGGAGAACGACAGCGATGATGAAGGGCCGAGTCGGCATTTTCTTAGATATAGCCTACAAGTATGCAACTACATGAAGAAGTGGGGATACAACTTCACGATGAGTGTTGTATCGAAGGGAAAGCCTGACAACTACTACGAGCAAAGGAGGGGTCTAGGCTACATTTCTTCATCTTCCGATGAGTGTTGTTGGCATCTTAATAGTCATTTGTTTAATGACGAACATTCGTCAGATTCTTCAATGTGGGATTCTGATATCAACCTTGGAGAAATGTTCAAAGGCTAATGTCAAACATGGTTATTGTCGATCCTACAACAGTGGAGGAAGATGATCAGCTACTAGTTTGGGAAGATCCTTGGATCCATCACTTAAACATCTAGTATTGTGACATATTCGAGCAAAGAGAACCTCCTACTGAGGATAAGGTTGCTCAAGTAAATATGGGCGACAAAGTAAATTCGAAACCCATATTCATTAGCGATAGTCTCCCACCTGAAGAAAAAGAGGAGTTGATTGCCATCATCAGAGAATATATCGATGTCTTCACATGGAATTATGAGGACGTGCCAGGACTTGATCCAAATGTTGTTGTGCACCGACTTAACATCAAAGCGGATGCCAAACCTGTTCAACAACAATAAAGACAATTTCGTTCACAAATCATAGAGTCGATTGAAGCCGAGGTTAAAAAGTTAATTGACTCAGGCTTCATCAGAGAAGAACAACATCCAGATTGGGTGGCGAATATTATTCTCGTTCTTAAAAAGAACAAGAAGATAAGGATCTGTATTGGCTTCAGAGTTCTGAATATCGTCTGCTCGAAAGATGACTTTCCTCTTCCTATCATAGACGTCATCATAGACAACACATGTGGGTTTGAAAGACTGTCATTCATGGATGGATTCTCAGGGTACAATCAAATTAAAATGTACCCAGACGACGAAAAGCACACCTCATTCAGGACACCGCTTGGTATTTTCTACTACACAGTCATGCCCTTGGTCTGAAAAATGCGGGTGATACATATCAACAAGCCATGACGAATATTTTCTAATAACATCTTCGAAAAACTGTCGAGTGCTATGTTGATGATTTGGTTGTTAAAAGACGCAGCAAAAACGATCACATTAAAGGCTTGAGGACAACATTTAATCTCATACGGAGTCATCAATTGAAGATGAACCCTACTAAGTCTTTCCTGGGAATGTCAAGTGGTAAATTCCTCGAATTCGTCGTCACAACAAAAGGTATCCATATTGATCCTGATAAAGTGAAGGTGATACATGAATTGCAACCCCCGAGAAATCTCAAGGAACTCAGAGGGTTACAAGAGCGATTGGCATACATTCGCAGATTCATCTCAAACCTTACGGGAAAATGTCAACCATTCTCCAAGCTCACAAAGAAAGGTGTGTCATTCGTTTGGAATGATGCTTGTCAGAAGGCATTCGAAGACATTAAGGCATACTTATCAAATCCTCTTGTCCTCGTCGCACCGAAGTCAGGTAAACCGTTCCTGATTTATGTCAAGGCAACGAACCACTCATTGAGTGCCCTATTAGCACAAGACGATGACAACAGTCACGAGCAGGCAGTTTATTATTTGAGTAGGACATTGGTAGGTGCTGGATCTCGATATCCAATGATCGAGAAAGAGTGTCTTGCCCTGGTGTTTGCAATTCAGAAAATGTGACACTATTTGCTCAGACAGATAATTTACGTCATTTCTAACGTCAATCCAATACGGGTGTTCATTACGTAACCGGCTTCAATGAATTGGCGGCTAGCAAGATGGGTTTTGCTTCTGTCGCAATACGACATCCACTTCAAACAACAAAAGTCGTCAAAGGGCAGGCAATTTGTGATCTTCTAGCAGTTCATCTAATCTAAGATAAATGTGAACTATATGAAGATTTGTTTGACGAAACTCACGAAGTCAACACTACTTCTCATCAATAAGTGTGGCAGTTGTATTTCGATGGCGCTTCCCTAGCGACTACTTCTGGATGTTCTAAGATTTCTTCAGGAGTTAGAGTGGTCCTAGTTTCCCTAGAGAAACATGTGATACCTCGAGCCTATTCACTTATTGGGCCATGTTCTAACAATATGGCCGAATACAATGCATTCCTCATTGGACTCAGTTGGCCAAAGAACTGGGGATGGAATACCTTGAAGCCTTTGGTGATTCTCAACTAATAATCAACCAAATCCGAGGAGAATACGAGGTTAGGAATCAAGACCTGAACCCGTACCATAAAGCGGCTATTGAGCTGACGGAATCTTTAAAAGATTTCTTCATTGAATATATCTCGCGCCTCCAGAATGCATATGCAAATGCACTGGCGGCATTGGTAGTCTCCTTAGCATAGCCTCCTGAGATGGAACAGCTGGTCACTGTGAAGACTCATCAGATTTTCATACCCGACTATGCCCTAGACACCAAAGAGGTGCATGCAACCAGAATCGAACTCAAGCTTTGAGACTGGCGTTTCCCCATCATTGATTATGTCTTACACGGCATCTTGTCGGAAGACATAAAAGAAAAAGATTCAGTCCGACGGAGAGCACCAATGTTATACTATAATGCAGCAACCCAGACGCTCTATCGTCGCACATAAGACAGCTTGTTACGTCGATGTCTTTCAACCAAAGAGGCAGAAGAAGCCCTTAAAGAAGCACATGATGGGATTTGTGGTACACACTAGCTCGGTCCAAAATTATGTGATCGTCTCAGAAGAATTGGCTATTATTGGTCAACCATGGTCAAGGACGCAATCGCATATGCTCGATGGTGCCACGCATGTCAGATACACGCCAACTACATGCATTAGCCACCGGAGCACCTGCACCCTTCGGCTACGTCTTGGTCATTTGAGACTTGAGGAATGAACGTTGTTGGTCTCATTTTCCCTCCCTCAGCCAAAGGTGACCGTATTATTTTAGCAATCAACGACTACTTCTCCAAGTGGGCAGAAGCGATTCCACTTAAAGAAGTAAATACGAACTATGTCATTAAATTCATTAAACACCATATCATCTATCGATACGGTGTTCCAAGACGAATCGTGCATGACAACGGCCCTCAGTTTGTCAGCAATGCATTCATCAAATTCTGTGGAAAGTTCAGAATTCAAGACGTCTCGTTGACCGCTTACAATCCCACTGTAAACGGTTTAACCGAGACATTCAACAAGACCATCATCAAGATCTTGACGAAGCTTGTAAGAACCAACAAACGAGATTGGGATGACAAACTTGGTGAGGCTCTCTGGATCTATCGTACTACAGTTCGCACACCTACCAGAGCAACACTATATTGTTTAGTATATGGGTGCGAGGCCGTCCTTCTCTTGAAAATTCAGATTCCATCCCATCCATTGGCAATCAGCCTTTATAGAACTGAAACTATAATGTGTGAGTTTACTGGTGATGACAAAAGCCATTATACTTAAAGTTATTTAAACATGAAAACCTAAGTGCTACCAACCGACTTTCTTAAGATTGTTGGATTCGCAACACAATCAGTGCCAATCATCATCATAAACTTTTAAGGGTAATCTATCTTGTTATTTAAATAAGTTAAACTATAGATCATTGTATACTGGAACAAGGCAAAATAAAAGTTTTTCCTATCAACTCCTACTTTAAGGTGATTACCATTGCGTTGGGATTAGGATTATATAATGTACAATAGGCCAAGTGAAAGTATGAGAAAAAAAAAGTAGCTATCTTAATTGGTGTTAGGTGGTAAAACAAAGGGTTGATTGCGGATGGAGCCCTTCACTATCGCCCAGTTGCCGATTGACCCCATACAGTTCTCTTGTTGAATCTTTAACCTCAAGATCTATTTATCAAAAATTATAATAAATAATAATAATAATACTCTGATGGTTAAAAAAAAGTGGGGAAAAAATTCACTCAAGGGGTCCATCTGCAATAATAAAACTACGTGGGCGTGTATCTGAAATTGGGCAATATTAGAGGGGGTCTATCCACAGTTAACTCGAAGACAAATTAGGGTAACTCAACCAGGGAGTTGTCTACTTCAAGGCTCCTGTACCCCCTCTCACGTTTTACACTCGTAGCATTGAATGTTGCCGATGGAGGATATAGGGATAATGTAAATGCATGTAAATTCTCATATAAATTCAGTTTTCTTCAGACAGCAATATCACTTGAGGCTCAATATGCAGAAAATTGATTCTTCTGTCGATTTGCACGATAACAAGATAGATAGTTGCAGCTCTATACTCGCAATAATTTCAGACACAACAGCTTATTCATGATTTAACTCAGTATCCTCCGTGACTGAGAACTGTGCATGGTCTACTTAGGATTAGCCTCATGACCGGTGAACCCTGTATGAGTACAAGCAAGAAAATCCCAAACAGCAAGAACCACAACTTTTAAACCAAGTTCAACTATTGCTTCGGAGAGAAGAAAAATTTCGCTCACCTTCTTTATTAAACGATTAACTTTCTAAGTAATAATAAAACTCTTATATGATGCATGTCACATAATAAACCCAAATCCAATGTAATCATTTACAACTTGGACTGAACTATAAAATTATGTACAAGATGTGAAGAAAAAAACATAATAAGCAGTAAAAAAGAGGATGATGTGTCCGTATCCACAATGAGATGGCTATCCCCGACCCACAATGAGATGGCTATCCCCGACCGACCGAAACAGTCTCATCTTTTTCTTCCCCCAAATGAAACAAAATCTAATACTATACAACGTAGTATATAAAGCATACTGACTTGCATGGTGAAAATGACACATCTCAAAATTTGCTATAACTATGGACCGAGCAGTTTTTTCCATCGAGCATAGCCTAGGACAAGCAGGAAGATAAAGAAACAGCCTATGGAAGTGCCTGCAACAAAGGACCAAAATAGGTTCTCCTTGTTATATAACTCGCACGGGATGTTCATGGCAAATGCCCCTACTATCAACGTGTTTATAGCTATTGCAAAGGATGCAATAGTCAAAATAAGCTGCAGCTGAATGAGCTCGTTTCGCTGGTTGTCAAGCTGAATGTTGACATAATCTTCTGTGTCATCGATATATTCACGCACCTGGTGGCCAAGGGAAAAAGAAAACAAAAAAAAAATAGCATCAACTGAATTGAGCTTGTTACCACAAATCAGGGAGTGTTCAAGAAAATAAAGATTAATTTCTTTTCAGGGATAAAATGAGATGTTTTCCAAGAAGGTTTGAACTGTCAATACACCCATGTGGGTCGTTATTTTTGAAATTACCACCCCTCTAATTTTATTTTTAAAGATAGACCCCCTAAGTAAATTCTTTTTAACTCTTTTACCCTAACGTCTGTTTGTCAAAAAAGAAATTTATCTTTCTCTGATGATAAAAGAGTCAAAATTCTTCATTCAGGGGGTAAAACTATAGTAGCGTCTATCCGCAATTAGTCCTTTCAGAATGAACAGCAGTACATTTGCCTAAAATCCACAACCGCCAAAAAGCATCCTTGATATACCATGCACAGAAGACTGTATATAAACAGAAAGATTCATATGTAAGGTGGGCTCAAACAAGAATAACCAATCTCCAGGTACTTATAGATGTCCCAAGGGGTGACCAAATTACTAAAGATAAATGCTGCTAAGACTGCAGTGACGACTTACTAATGCATATTGTACATGACTTAATATAAAAGTCATACACTGATACACAGAGGTTCAATATCTATACTGCTTCATAAATAGTCCCTCGTCTTTTGTGCGTGTTTATACAGCATATGGCTTGTACATAGTAAATACTATACACAACCTTCAAAGTTAGTCTCTTCAAAATCTGGCATGGGCACAATTTTTTCATCACTAAATCCAACAAGGATCCAGAAGCGCAGGTCAAATATGTCTGAAATATATTGGACACAATTTTCACTTTGAAATGCTTGTGCTCCCTATTAGCCCGTCTACAATGTGAAAATGACCCGCTGTTTTAATTTTAGTACACTTAGCTATGCTAAATGGTCTCCTTTTTTTCCACGTTTAAGCAGCACATGGATTGTAGGTAAACTACATGCAACCTTCAGATGTTTTTTTCTTTATTCAAAGCTGGTGCCACTCAAATCTCAACACATAATTTCGTAATTTCTAAATCCTAGATGGCTCCAGATACTTTAGGCATCATTAAATGCCAAAGTCCGGTAATCTGTTGGGTGCAAGATTCACTTTAAATGTATATAGTACCTTTGGTAACCCGTCCACAAGGTGATGATGGCTCAGTGCTTAGATTTTGCTAACATAAGCATCCACTTTACTTCGCGGATCTCCTTGTGCATTAAACTGGCCCACAGTTTAGATTTTGCTAAAACAGTATATTTATGTTAAATGGTCTCTTTATGCATTTTTAAGCAACACATGGCATGTACGCTACATGCAAACTTCAAAACTTTTGTGCTGACACGGCTCAATACACAACTTCTAGGATCCTGAATCCAACATGGCTCCAAAATCGTTAATAACCCGCATCTAAGGATTCAGTTTTACATGTCTTTGCTTTATAATAACCCGCATACAAGCTGATGATAGCTCACTTTTTAGATTTTACTAAAATAATATTCACTTAAATTATATTAGATGGTTTTTATGTGAATGTACGCAGTAAGTAGTCTACACAGCCTTGAGAGCCTTTTGTTTAAGCTGACATGGATTTAACACAGAATCTATTGATTTTCTGCATCCGACATGGTCTTTCAACGAGGGTCATGCCAGAATCATTAATCGAAAAATGTAGGACACGGGATTAGGACACAGGATTAACTCTGAAATATCTGCGCTTCCTAGGAGGTTACCCTTCACAGCATGTAGGTAGAGCACCAACAGCAAATAAGAAAAAGCTTGCGCCCGTATAGAACAGATACGGTCAGAGTCACAACGCTCCGTCTTATAGTAATTTCCTAAAGACAATTTACCTCAACAAAAGCCTACTCAATTACATTCCCTATAAAAGCACCACTGTGGAAACTCATTAAACAGTATATGATGATCACATGTAGAGAGAGCTAAATAGTTAATACACTGAACGAATAATTCACAACTCATAAAATTACAACATTAAAATTTTAATACACAAAATTCATATTCCAGGAAGTGAATTAAGATTGCAATTAACTGAAATCCAAATACATTATGTAGTGAATAAGAAGTCAAAATTTAGAATCAAGACCCTACAATAACTTATAAAAATTAAGAGAACGCAAAATGTATTGAACAAACTACAAAAATATCCAGCATATGAACCTTAGCCATCTAGTATCTTCTGAATATTCTGATGCTTAAGGATATATCTAAAACAAACACTGAAAAAATTTTAAGCATGCTTCACAGGTGCTACACTCAGTCACTCACTAAGCACTCCCTGTGGACTGCTAGACCAACAAACTTTTGGTCATCTAAAAATTTCATTACATAAGCTCACAGTAACCTACTAGGTTTGTTGTAATTATTTAAATTATATGCCCTTAAGTTATATAGCTGAAGTTTATGTGATGCATGTGGTACAAGCTACAGACAAAACATAAGCACCACTGTAGCTTCTCCCAATCATTCATCTCAGCCCACTGCAGCCAGCCAATAATTGATATGGAAGAAAATACCTCTCTTCATGAGAATTAGAGCATTCACCATAGCAAATAACTTTTCGTGATGCTTTGTTTACAGAATAGATAATTTGCCACAGTTAATTTGCCAATTTATCCCATATGAATCTGATCTTAACGGTGATTTTTTTTTTGGGTTTCTAACTTTGACATTGATTTTTTTGTAACATTAGCAGAAGAAACAATAACAAATTGGTAACTCAGCCTCCACTAAGGTAAGAGACATACCGACAATATCTTGTTCCGGGTCCCATCCAATTGCATGAAATAAGCCTCAAGAAGCATCTCCAAATCCTCCACATCATTATCATCAGAATAGATACTAGTAACAATACTTGCGCTCCCGTGGACATTAGAGCTAATTCTTGCCAAGTTAGGAGCAGGTACTATGGCATTTGAAGCTGCAGAAGCCATTAAAGCTTCCACCTGCTGATTCTGGATCTGTCTTCTTGATAGATATAAATGGGCCATATCTTCATTGTCATCTAATAAATGTTCAATCTCATCCCTAACCTGGTAAGGGAATGAGATTGCACCATCAGTATGACTCGTGGTTTTAAAGTTTAGGCACGTAATCAAGAGAATGCATACTAGAGAGCTATAGCACCACATATAAACTCGCCAAAAATAAAAAGAAGTTCAAATATTAGACAGCTATACAGTGTATAAAAGAACAACTGATCGCAGGTAATGTTAATGCAAGTATTCATAAACATATACAGACAGTAACCACTCAGTGTCATCCTGGGGAATATAGTGTATTTTAGGGTTATGAGAAACCTACAGAATCAATTAAATTGTAGGTATTAGAAATACATCCATTACAAAGAACACAGATCTATCAATAGCTATTAAAGCGACAAATCTTCTCCAACTTATTTAAACCCTTAATAGAAAGTGTGTTGGTCTTGGAGATACTACAACTCCAAGCACCAAAAAAGTTCTTCATTGTGTTTCTAAGAGAGGTCATCAATGTAAAACAAACCTCGTCAGCCTTCACTTAATTATACAGCTTTTCTGGGCATAATATCTAAGAGCAATAGTTATTGATACTCTTCAAGACTAATAAACAAATTTTGAAAAAAATTGAGCAATGATTGTCAAGGTATTTTAAGAAAAAAGAAGTACCATATGGTGGTAAGGGATCTTTCCCATTTCTCAAGTGCCATCATTTAAAATACATCTGTTTGATCAGTGCGCAACTTCTTTTGGCATAATACTTTTAGCAACTGAGAACAGCTATCAACACACTTTAAGAAACAGACACAACTTCTATAAAGAGGTTGAACATTCATGTTCTCTGTATTTTATAAGTGAAAAAGGAGACTGGGATACTTTTTAAGAAAACTTAACCCAACGCCATAGAGGATGATAGGCCCACCTCAATAAAAAACTCTCTTAGATATCAGATATCAAACATAACACTATAAAGAAAGACATGACCACCTCAATTAAAACTTTTTAAAAAAACTCTCCTGAATAGATATCAGATATCATATGGTGAAGGACATTCACTCACCTGTAATTCATCTTCTCCCAGAAATGATCTTATTTCTTCACAGTTTTCTTTGATTACAAGAACCTCCTCAATAACCATTAGCAAGAATATTTAATCTAACAATATGGACTTTGACATTTTTATGCATGATTAAAATCACCGGCGCATAAAAATCATGTCCAGTCATTCTCATATTAATGGCATAATAGAAGGTCAACCAGTATTTTACTTCCACTGGGATAAGGTTATGAGCAATCATTGCTCAATAAACGCTTATGCTCTGAGAGATAATGTGGTGTTCCAGTCCACCACATCTAGATCATCCTAGATACTTAAGACCAACAGACACTACAATATGTGCTACCACAACGTTTGGAATATACTATGATGCTTACAGTAAAACCTAGCACCTCTTGGCTCTTTATCATCTTCAGACCTTCTATACCAATTCAGGAGCAAAGGCTCTAGAAACAGAAAAGAGTGGCATACTTTCAGAACAGATGATAATAGTGTCTTGTGGGATATATGTAGAAGAGTTTTTCATTAGCATAAGAAGAATACTAGTATATACCCCGTGCAAAGCACAGCAGCTAATTTTTTCTATCATTGTATTTTAAATTTGCGTCTCCCTAAGTTTTAATACATTTGATTTGATTATTGTATATTTAAAATTAAAAATCATAAAGCATATTAAAATATATGTTACCAAAAATATTGTCATCTGATGCTTACACATTCTTGCTCTAAAGAATATAAAGTCAACTCTAAATTTCCTAGTTTAAGAATATAAAATTTAATATATTACTAAATTAGCCGAATATCTCTTTCCAAAGTTTTGTCAATGGCAAAATTTTGCAGCCAATTACTATTCAAGAGTTCAATTTATTTTGTATCTCGAGGGAGGGTTGTTTTGGAAAAATAAAGTAGCTTAAATTGGTCTTGCTATTATCAATTTCTTCATCTTCCATTTTTCTTCTTGTTCTACAAAAAAAATAAGTCTTTATATTTACAAATTCTCTTTTAAGTTGAAATTCTTATGCAATTTATTAATAGTTATTTGTGAACTTGTCCCTTTCGTTCATCGTTATTGTCCACATTTTTTTAATATAATACAGTTTAGAAGGTTAAAATGAGTATGTGAATAAAATGAGTAGTATGTGAATTAAAATATTGACGGCTACTGGTGTAGTGACATGAATACATTACATACATGTCTCTTCAGATGAGGATAAAATTAGTAGTATGTGAAGTACACGTTCGTCTACATTGATGATTATTCAGATTAATTTAAGGTTTACGTCCAGGAATAATTAAAAGCAGTATATAATGGTTAGGGGTGGAAACGAACCAAATATTTAATAAACAATTCAATTGATATTCGTCCAGATATTCGGTCATATTCGATCCGACGGTTCATTTAATACTAAATGAATATTTTTTAGTATTCGACGTATAAACAAATAAAATTTAACTAAAGGTATATTCGATTCGGCTGATTATTAACTATTCGATAACCTTTTTATGTTAATCCTATTAATTAAACTTGCTGCAAATATTATCCATCAAATTTTTATTACAACTTCTAGCCCATATATAAATAGACTTAGGACCTAGGGTTTTCACCATCGTTTCCACTTTCTGCCTCCAAGTCCAACCGAGTACCTATTTCTCTCAACCGACACATCTCTCTTCCCCGCCGACACCGTCCACCCTCCCAGCGACAACGCCCTCCTCCTTCCCCCGCGACGACTCTCTCTTCCCTCTCCGAGGACCTGCGATCCTCTCTCTCCGATGCCCACCTCCCGCGATGACGCCGTCCTCCCTCCAAGCGACGACACCCATCGATAAAAGTTCCAACCTCGATTTCCCTTTTTGTATTTAGAAACAAAAATTGTTAATCCGAATGTTGTTAATCGAATAGTTACCGAACAGATATCGAATAGTTGATGAAAAACTTGATATCATAACAGATATCAAGTAAGAATCCAAGAACTTGAGCAGAATATCTATTTCTTCTTCATCCTTCTTCTATCTAATGGTTGGTTCTAATTTTTGTCAATTAATTTGGCCTTCTTTACACAGGGTAATTTCTATTCCTTGTGTTTGATTAAACGTAAAAACAATGGATTATTAAATTTTGTAAATATTTATGCAGTTGCTCTGTATGCATTGGAACAATGGATGAAAAGCTTAGAATGAGAAGAAATTTGAGGCAGTAGAGATCTTTCTTCTTAACTGCCGCTCAAATGGCTATAAAAGGTGTGAACTTTGTAAGAAAATTATCACAAGGAAAGAATTCCATGCATAAGTTAAAATAAAAGCTTAATCAGGTTAAATTTTATTTTGAGGAAAAAAATTACCCTTTAGTGATCAACGCTGGTAAGTTTTAAATTAGTGTATTTTAATTACTTTGTGTTGTTTCTGTGTCATAATATTAGGACATGGTTAATTTTTGAAAGACGTGTCTTAGAGTGAAAATACTTATATTAATTGACTTATCTTTATAGTCTTTACATGGATTCAGATTATGGCAAAATTGTTCTCAATTTTTAGATATCCTAATAAGCTATATACATACTCTAATACAAATGGTAATGGCATAATAGAAGGCCAACCAGTATTTTACTTCCACTGGGATAAGGTTATGAGCAATCATTGCTCAATAAACGCTTATGCTCTGAGATAATGTGGTGTTCCAGTCCACCACATCTAGATCATCCTAGATTACTTAAGACCAACAGACACTACAATATGTGCTACCACAACGTTTGGAATATACTATGATGCTTACAGTAAAACCTAGCACCTCTTGGCTATTTATCATCTTCAGACCTTCTATACCAATTCAGGAGCAAAGGCTCTAGAAACAGAAAACAGTGGCATACTTTCAGAACAGATGATAATAGTGTCTTGTGGGATATATGTAGAAGAGTTTTTCATTAGCATAAGAAGAATATATAGGAAAGTGGTTACAACAATTTATAGATATGAACATGAGCAACAAAAAAATGCCTACATACTCTACTGAGCGGGACAGTGACTGCTCTGATTCTCAAGAGTTATTGGATTCCACTAAGGAGTGACATTGAGATTCTATGTTTTCTTTCTTTACAGAGAAGCAAGGGTGCATGAGGTTTTGGAACACACGACTTCCTGATAAAAGAAACAACATTAGACATAATTTTACCATAACATATATTTCATAACGTCCATCACATTAAGGGAATTTATGATATGCTGACACGTCAAACATATCACACCAGGTATAGACATTCTAAATACCAAAATAATCATTGAAGTGGATATTGTTGAAGACAAGCTACCATGCCTATTTAAAATCTTTTGTGATAAACATCAAAAGAAACCTGTTAATAATAATCTGTATTAATATATAAGGAGTAAATTTAACTTCAGCGACTAGAAATATACTTACAACAATATAATAGAAGAATAGCATATATTAAAAGCGGCAAAACAATAACTTTGACTATACCTTCTGAACACGGGCAAGCAATCGAGTGAGATTGCTCTTCAAACTCCTCACTCTCTCAAGATTCTTCGTGCTTACATTCATAGCCAACTCATCCAATACAGGATATGCATCCTTCTCCAGGTCGGAGACGCTCGAATCCAAATAACTACACACAACTTCTAAAGCAAGCTCCAGCACCTGAAACTCAAAAGAAAGCTCAGTCTCATCCTCACCTCCTCCCTCGTTAACCCTAAACGGGCTCTTAAGCGGTATCTGCTGCCTGAGTTGATCCACAAAGGGCAAAACCTCGCGAGACAAAGGATCGAGAAGCAGAACTTCTTCGGCAGTGACTATCGCCTTTATAAACTCAAGATTGACGACCATAGCCTTCTCTCTCGCTGCAAATTTTTTAACCAAAAGACAACCAGTTACATCACGGAACCCTAAAAATTAAAAAAAATTAATATTTTTTTGTAAAAATTCTCACCGAGGATGTTGGAGGAGTGGGAAAAGATGGGGCCAAGGATTCTGAGATCTCTGGCGGGGATCGAGGCGAGGCGGATGATGGCGCTCTTGTCGCACTCCAGGATCTCTGATTGGCCGTTGCGATCGAAGCGCATCCAGAGTCGAGATCCAGACTTCTTCTTTGATCCTTTGATCGGAGCGGCCGCGGTTGATTCAGGGACCGGGATGACTCCGTTGCCGGCGGCGCGGCGGCGGGATTATAAGGGATTGGGACATCATGAGAGTAAGGATGCGCTTGGTGGATCGAGACTTCTTCGAGAAGAAGGAGAGCGTCTTCTTCACGTTTCGCTTCGCCATTGTTAACCTCAGTCTCCACCATCGATCGATGGGGGCAGAGATAAAGGGAGAGTATTAAAGGAGTTGGCTTTTCCTCCTCCTTTTTCTTATTCCCTCTTTCTTCCCTTCTCCCGTTTGCTCGACCGCTACTAGGACCAAACAACCTATTTATTTCGGGGTTTGTCGATATTGGTCATTTAAAATCTTGGGTGGTTTTTTTGAAATTTGTCCATCAATCATTGAAATTGCTTTAGATTCGGGAATCTTACATGTCTATTCCTCTCAATTGGAATAAGATTAATTTGAAACAACTCCTAAGAATTGATAAGAATTGAGGTATTCATAATAATTTCAATGATTTAACGAGCTACCTTTAAGATAACTTATAAGAATTTAAGGACCTATTAACAATTCCAAATGATTTGAAAGGCTAATTTAAAAAAAATTATTTGGAAGGTTTTCTGGTATGGATAATTGGTCCCTTATATTTGCAATTTTGATATAGATATGTTATAACTTATAACCCTTAAAATATTAAATATTAATCCTCATAACGGAGACTAATTCAAGACTAAGATAATCTCCGCCTCATCACGCCTGTCTTGATTGGTCAACATCTCACATAACCGAGTCAAAAGGCGGTGTCACTCGGCTAACCCCCCAACCGATTCCAGAAGAGACCCGACTCGGTCCATTGTTCGGCCGACATCTCGTGTAACCGTGTCAAAAGGTGGTGTTTCTCTGCCCTGGACCTAAGGAGTTGAAAGACGACAGTTACCTCGAACCCCACGTTAGCCGACTACTCTCGCATTAATTGCCCTGACAACATCATCATGGCTATAGCCCACATAGCTTTTATAATTCATCAAACTCAGTCAGCATCAAGCACCTACTGTTATTCCCATAATAAATGACCAGGTCACTCACCTCCTTCGGCAACCGACACGTAGCACATGTTTGCCGACTCAGCTGCCTAACTGGACTTGGCCCAATTTACCTTCTTGCTCCTCAGACCCACTATAGAAGGAGCAGCACCGCATGAGGCAACTCTCTAGTTTTTTCGACATAACTAAGAGATAGCTCTATATTTTCGTACTGAAGATCATATATTGTCTTGATCGTCGGAGGAATAATTGGAGAGCCCAACTCCGCCCTCTTACGAGTTCTTTCATGTGTAGGGAAAACAATAAGCCCTAGAACAATTCATCAGGAGGAGTTAGAGGACCTCAATCACTCCACAAATTCTTAGATAACCCCATGTTTGATAACTGGCATCAACAAAGAGTATGCAGCCAAAGATTTGAGGATGATCCTATATCTGAAGGCAGTCAAAGAACTTTTGACCAACTTCACTAACTTCAAGATCGCCCAAAGGCTCGAGGAAACAATCAACCACTAAGATCTGACCCATTCTCTTCTCCTTCTATTGGTCTTTTCTGAATTTAATTTATTTCTAGAGGTTTATCATTCGGCTGATTCTCTTGATTGAAAATGTTAAGATCAGCAGTCAAATTCCCAAAGGATAGCTTCATTTGACAGTTCTACAGTTTATGAGAGCATTAGAAGTGGCTAAGAGTCTTCCTAAGATGATAGGTATATATCCTTTGGGATTGGGATTTGGCTATGTTTCCAAGGCTACAAAATCCACTGAAAAATAAAATCCTCAACCTTAATTAGAACATCCTCTATCTCATCCATGGGGACTTTGACAGATCTGTCAGCTAATTGCAATGTACATATGGTTGGTTTCAATTCACCAACACATAGTTGTTGGTAGACTGAATAAGAAAACAAATTGACACTAGCTCCTAAGTCTAAAAACGCCTTATCAATGTAGGTATTTCTATTGACTCATGAAATGATGGGACAATCTGGATCCTTACGTTTCAAAGGTATGGGCTTTAAAGCATATCACTGATATTGGCAGCCAAAAAGACTTTCTTTGAAACAATTATTCTTCTCTTCTTAGTGCACAAATCTTTTTAAAAATTTTGCATAAGAAGGAATTTGTTCAATTACATCGAAGAGAGGAATGTTGACATTAATCTGCTTAAAAGTTTCTAGGATCTTCTCCTTTTAAGGGGAGTATTTCCTAAGCCTGAGTCTATATGGGAAGGGAGCAATTGGTTTAAACCTATCAAAATTAGGCTCATGTTCGGGTTCGGGTCTTGGTCATCGGGAAGGGGTGATTTCTAAATAGAGATATCAGAAGGAGAATGAATTTTTTTCTGGTTCAAGAGTTTGACTTGGAGGTGTTCTAACTTAATTATCGACCTGATTTTCTAACCGTAGTGAATGGATTGCATTCACTTGGGTTTCGTAGGATGAACTAGATTATGTTTCCTTAGGGTTGAACACTGGTTAACTCGAAAATATTCATTTCCCTCTTTCACTCATGACAGTAGCTAGTTGACCAAGTTGGGTTTCCAACCTAGCTATAGCTTGAGTGTTGGAATTAAATTTTTATTTGGTTGATTGTATACATGAATTCAAAGTGTTAGATGTTTGAGTCAACATATTTGTTGTTTTTGTAAAGGCCTTCATTATGGTTTCCAAACATTTTTTCAAAATATTGAGATGTTTATCATGATTCGAATTTGGAGGGATATGATTTACAGATTGATGATGAGGTGACTGATTTGGATATGGTAGATTTGATTGTTGAAAACTAGGTTGAGAACTAAAAGGAACTGTGTTTCCCCTAGAAAATTGTTGGTTTGAACGGGAGTGAAGTTTTGATTTTTAGAATAGTGTTCCTAATTCCATGCAAAGTTTGAGTAATTTCTCCAACCTAGATTGTAGGTTGGAGAAAATGGATCATTCATGGGACGTTGGAATGCAGCGTTAACCTCTCCTAGCGGTTGATTGTTTCCTATAGGTAATAAAAATTACCTTTATCCCTATCAGAGAAGTTCAAAACAAGACTGCTAAAACCTCATCCGAAAGAGCAAAAAGGGGAAAAACGCTGATATCTCTCAAACAGTAAGGAATTTAGCGAAATGGAGGTGGTAAACCCCCTTTGGAGGTTTGGTTGGCTCCGTCTCGTCGATATAGTCGATTTTCATATATAATTCGTCAAATTCCGACTTACGGTTTGAAAGTTATGACATATTCTTTGAAGCATGTTCAGTAGCTCGCCTAAAGGCAGAAGCTTGCCTGTAAAGGCTGTAGCTCGCCTGCAAGGAAGTCCGTCTAGAGGTATAGAGCTCGCCTAACCGCATTGAAGCTCACCTGAATGAGATTCGCCTGCACAGGTCACCTGCACAGCTTCACCTGCACAGCCTCGCCCGCACAGCTTCACCTGCACAGCCTCGCCTGCACATTGAACCAAGCTCGCATGTAAAGGCTAAAGTTCACATGTAAGGAAGTTCGTCTGCAAGGATAGAGCTCGCCTAACAGCATTGAAGCTCGCCTGAATGAGATTCGCCTGCATAGCTTCGTCTGCACAGCCTCGCCTGCACAGCCTCGCCTACACAGCTCGCCTACACTTTGAACCAAGCTCGCCTGAAAGCCTAGCTCGCCTGACAGCTCGAAGCTCGCATGTTTGGTCGACTTGAAGGTTTGAGCTTACCTGAAGACCAAGCTCGCCTGACAGCCTGCACCTCGCCTGCGTAGACTAAGCTCGCCTAACAACTTGAAACCCGCCAACATTGTCAACTGCCCACTTAGAGTATGGCAACAGTCACGTCAGTGGTCAAATCCCACGAATCAAGGGAGGAAGCATGTCGCTCCTCACCTAGCAAGAATAGGGCGGCTGACAGGACTCTCTAAGTGGTCACATTCCACAGCTAGGGCGGCTGGCTCCCTCACCCCTACTAGTGGTCAAATCCCACAAAGCAAGGGGTGACCCATGCCATCCCTTGCCTATTTAAAGCCACTTCCAGCCAACGTGAAAGAGGTGGATTAGCTGATGCTCGCTTGGCTGGCTAATCTTCCAAAGATTGAACCTGGGCTCATTTGCTAAAGGCTCCCTCATTTGAAGAGACTCATCTGAACTCTCAGACTTGAGGCTCTTAGGCTCTTTACAAGCTCTTGCATGATAGCTCTCTCCAAGCGGTCATCCGACAAGCACAAAGCCCCCACCCCAAACGACGCCCCCCGTTATGGCCTCGGGTATAGTCAAACTTGATATGCACAAGCTTCTACTGCGTACGAAGCTTGCCCGCAACTTCGATCGGATCGTCCAAGGGAAGCAGACTCGGTGCGAGAACCGAGCGAGGCGTCCTATCGCTATCAAAAGTCTCCACGTTAAACAAGGAGGGTCTTCCCTCCACTTCTGTTGTAATTTCGATTCATTAGTTTGTAATAAGCTTTTCTTATAAATACAAACGATACCTCTATTTCGGGAGATCAAAATTTACACCTACATTTCCTAAGAGAGGACATTCCTCTAAAACATGGGATGGAGAAAGTCAGTTGTGATAATCTGAGGCAGAAACTTGATTGATTTGAGTTGGGGCTCATTCTTTGATTTCTAGAGCTTCTAATCTACACATGATTGTAGTCATCCTTGCTTCAGAGGCAATGTTTATCCCTAGGGACAGACCACTGGATTTGGATTAGAGAACTAATGAAACTCTATCATCACAGTGTTCTCATTACATGGTTTTCTAGGATAAACTCTTTAAAAATTTCCAAGCTTCATCAACATTTTTTTTCATAAAATCCCCTTGACACATTGATTCTAAAGAAGTTTTTGAAGAATAATCCAATCCTTCATGGATGATTTGGCATAATCGCTATTTCTCAAGACCATGGTGAGGACATTGGATAAGGAGATCCTTAAATATGTCAAAATACTTCCAGAATGGCTCACCCGGAACAATCTTAAAATTTTGAATACTAGTTTTAAGCTTAACTGTTTTGTGGATAGGGAATTTTTTAGAAAAACAGTAACAAATTTATCTCAAGTTAAGATAGAGTTTGTGGGTAAGCTATACAGTCATTTCTTGGCTTTGTCCTTAAGAGAAGATAGAATAAATCAAAGCTTGATCACATCCTTAGATAATTCCTTAATCTTAATCATAAGACAAACTTCCTCAAACTTGAAGATAAGAATTCACCTTCATCTGCATCGGCAATACCCCCAAGGCCTTAAAAACACAACGGAGGAAAAGGATGTAGGGGCAGGCATAAACCATATTCCAA